AAGAAGTAAAATTTTTTGGGGGGGAAGAAAAAAAAAAAAAAAAAAAAAAAAAAGAGTGAAAATGAAAAATTCTAACCATGTACCAAAAAACAGTGCAAATAAAGTAAAGGTCAAATTAAAAAGAGTTAATAAGTAATCTCAAAATTTGAACTTTGAGCTTATGTGACCACCCTATTAAATAAATCAAATTAAATGAATATGAAATGTCAAAGCATATCAAGTCTCTTCTGTGAGCATTCTTTTTCAGAAGAGCAGCTAAATTTACTCCAGCTTCATTCATTTCAACATGACTTTGGTTTCAGCTTAACTACCACATGCTGAATTCTGACCTTCATTTCGTTTAGCCTGCCTCTATTAAGTATTTCAGAAATATATACCTGAAGACTGAAGGAAAACTCACACCTCCACAAAGAGGCATACAAAGTTTTTCCTCTCTGCCTAAAACAGAAGCATAATTTATGTTATTCCTTCAAGTTATATCTACAGAAAAACAACTGGTATATTAAACAGAGTAGTGAAAAAAGCTTAGGTCTTGACTCACTTTATTTGCAAATAATAACTAATAACGGTTTTTTCTTTCACTTGTAGGAGAAGGCTGTTAAACAGGTTAAAAGACTACCTGGGAGGAAGTTTATGACCTCATAGTCATGACTTTTATAGCATATTCTCCACCTCTCCTATCTTTTCAACATCCCCGACTTCTGCAGCACCACAGATTCCGTTTTTCAGACGTGTGGCTATCAAAGAGAGCTTCACCAGCAGCAGGTACTTGCAGAACTGATTACATTAAGTGCAAAACCATGTCATGAACCCATGTGCAAGCCCATCTCCTGCCTCACCACCTCTGTCGCTACACCACCCGGGAGCTGGCCAGGCCAGACCAGGCTCTGTTAGCCCTGGAGATGTGGCTGGGCTTTCTTGGTGGCCATCGCCAGCCCGGCTGCTGGGGCTGCTCCCCGTCTGCCCTTCGAGCTTCCAACTGCTAATAAAGGGGATAATGGATGGAGCTTGTTTGGCTCAACCATCCCAGAGGAGCCACCCGCTTCTTCCCTCAAGTTTGTGCTCTCTGGGATCCGCTTCTTCCCTCAAGTTTGGGCTCTCCACCATCCACTTCTTCCCTCAAGTTTGGGCTCTCCACTCTGCCCCAGCAAAGCCAGCAGCTGCCACCAGAAGGGGACAGGGCCACCTCGCTAAAAAAACTACAGCATCCAGAGGTGATTTAAAAGTTTTCTGCCAATTAACGGAGAGGAGGAAGCGGGAGAGGGCCAGCACCAGGAGAAGGGGCAGGTAGAACCCACGCTGCCAGAAGCCGGGGGAGGAACCCCTTGCCCCCCGCCGCCCTGAGCCCTTCAGCCATCTTGCGAGGCCTCCCCCGGCCCCTCACGGCCACCCCGGGTCCCGCCGCCCAGCCCCGGCGCAGGCTCCCGCTCCGCCCGGCCGTGGGGGCGCAAGGACACATGTGCCCCCCCGATCCGCACCGCTCGGGCAGGCGGGGGTCCGCACATCGCACCGAGCTCCCTCGGCGCCTGCTGCGGGCGGGGGCACCGGCCCGCCCTCCCCGCCGGTACCCCCCACAGAAGGGGAG